TATCAAACGCTACAGAGATCACTACATGAACAAATACTGTAACCTAACAAACTGGCAGCAAACGGACCAATCGCCACGCAGTGCCGGAGTCGTGGCACTGATCGCGACATTCGCAACGAAGCGCGATAAATCTACGCAAACACTGCAACAATCACAGCATTGGGAATCCTCGTCAGCCCAGATCACAGCATATCACAGCCAAAGATCACCACAAATTCCAAGAAGCTACCAATCACCAAGATCACTGATCACCACAAATTCACAAATAATCACAACGTACCGATCCCGCCAAAGGTCATAAAGAACCAACACAAAAAAAAATTGGGAGATGATTGGACCTCAACTTCGGTGACCTCAACATAACAACTGGCTTTCTGACCCTCCGCGAAGATTACGTATACATACCTACTATGGGTAGCAGAACCGAAAACCGACATGGAAAAAATATCAACTAAGAAATAAGATGACATAAGGTCCCCTTTAGTAAGGGTTCAATTAAAGGGCTTTTATGAAGCGGCCCTTACCTTTGTCTGCATATGTGTTCCTTATTGCAACATCCTCTTGTCTTTGAAAGGCGGCCACTCGAATTGGCTGACTAGTTACAATTGCAGGAACAATTTCACTCAACCTATCACTCAACTTCACTGGTTCGACTTCTTGATCTCATTGTCCGGGCTGGGTTTGTTGAACATCGGTTCCTGTGCAACGCACTTCAGCAACATTAATTGTTATTGCCTGGAATGAATTTCTTGCAGACCCACGCTGCAATTATTCACAAATACTTACACAGTACAGGAAAAATACCCCTTGTCATAATATCCACAAAAAAGTCATGGATCCCAGGAATCTTTGCAAACTACCGCTAGTCACAAAGAAACACAAATCACTATAGACCAATGACAAATCACAGGGTGACAAAAATGACCACACTGACCACACAATGATTCCTCACACCTGCTTTGACCCCAAACAAGTGAACACATATTGTTGCTTTAATTGTGTTTAAACATGCGAGTGAAACAAGTGAAACAAATCTTTACTTGTGAAACCTCTTGCCAACATGAATTTGCTTGCGACAAAGCAAACAGGTGCCAAACGTGTGCTGTGTGACGACCGCGCAGGGAGGCAAGGGGGAGATAAACATGGGTCTGCAGGGGCGACTGTGCCTTAAGAACCACCTAGTGTCGAGACAAGTGGAAGGCAAGCAAGGAATCCTGTCGAGGTCTATTTCTATACAAAAAAGGGGGCCTCAACAGTTTTTCTCTTTGACAAAAACAAAACTACCTTACTTCGAGTGGTCCCCGCCATGGCATTGTGCTCTGCTGATAACCGACTATATTGCTTCCATATCACCAAGAAAGCGTCTATCTTGCATACACTGAATGCTGTATACTGTATACTGGCATATTATGGCATTGTACCTGGCATATATTCGGGCATTCTATATGGTATATGTTCTGACATTCTATCTTGAACAAATTCTGGCACTCACTGGCATTCTATGTGGCATATCTTCTGACATTCTGTTGAAGGCATTATTTCTGACATTCTTTCTGGTGTGTTTTCCGACCGTATATTATCTGGAAGATGTTCTGGCATTCTCTCGGGCTATGTATATTTGGGCATTCTATCTGGCATAAGTGCTGACATTCTTTCTGGCATTGTTTCTATCTGGCTCAGGGATCTATATATATATATATATTATAGTCACAGTCCTCGTGGCTGAGGTCCGGTGGTGCCCACTGGGATATGGTACTTGTGCAGGAGGAGAGGAGGAGAGGACAGCTCAGATAAATCTAACAACCCTCACCTGGCAGGAGGGGAACAAACACAGACTGCCCCTGGCATTTGGTCGCCTTTGGTTGACCTGAACTGCCCGTGGCATTCTAGCCTTGAAATTGCTTGCATTGTCCGTTGCAGGTCTAACTTGTTCGAACCATCTGCAAGCCAAATCAATCAAAATCAGAAGAGTGTCAGCACAGAGATTCCCATAGCCGCTAAGATTTGAACGTGGCAAATCACCACAACACAAGTTTTCTGCAAGTCTGGTCTTTTCACACTGAATGTGCCTGCCTGAGTGACATGCAAGCGCCAGTCTTGAAAGCGCAAGTACTTGGGCTGAACCAGTCGAGCAAACCAGCTGTTCGAGAAAGGCTTGTACCTGGATGGACGGGGTCTACAAAGAGCTCCAACGGCCAAGGTTTCAATCAGCTATATATATATATATATAGAGATCGAGGAAAGCTGCTGGATGCTACTGCTTGACTAACAGCACTGCTGTTTTGAAACACTGCTGCATACAGGATTTGTCCTTTACATCTACAACCATCTTCAACCTAGCTTTCTTACCCCTGACTATGCACCCACACCTTTCTTTTGGTTGTGACCTTGCACACACCTTTCAGAAAGGCTCTGCAGGCCAGTGGGCGCGACCCTTACAGAACGAAGCAAAGCCGCTCATGCTCAGCCTACTTGTCCCGAGCAAGAACCAGAGCGCAACAATAGAAGGGAGGTGAGTTAAGTGGACAAAACAGCAAAACGAAGGGGACATCCAATGGGAAGTGACAGCCAGTGAAAGGATGTGAAAGACACTTTCACATCGAAAAAACAAACAGGGAAGGAGCACACAGTTGTATCATGAGCCCCTCCTGGTCTTTTCATATCTTTCAAGTGCTACAGGCTGCGAACGTTTGCAAACCTGACCCTAAGGCGACCCCAACAAAGTCACACCACACCAGGCCAGTAACAGCTTGGCGAAACCCCTCCTGGTCGTCGACCAAACCCCATCTCATGAAAACCTTCTCTCGGCATCAATGCTTGATGCACGGCCTAAACCATTTTGTTGTGCTGCAAGTTGCAAGCCTCTTCTCCACAAGAGTTTGCCGCATCCAAACCTAATACCACTCCCACAGTCCAAAGGCAAAAACAAAGAGCGATTCTGCAGTGCCCTGTCATGGAAGGGCAAGTAAGCAAAAGAGTTGGGGGTTTGCGGTTTGGGGGTTGCCAGGGTTTGAAGCACCTGTCAGGCCTTCAAAGAAGAATGTAGGAGACTCCGTGTTCTTCCTGCAACACTAACCGCTTTTCAAGAAACCCTTAGGCAAATTGTCCACAAAAGGGTGCCCACAAGGCCACCCTAATCAGTAATGTCATACTTTTTCTCCAAAAGTTCCTGCACTACTAAATTGCCTCTCTTTCCGTTCTTCACCCCCTTATTTAATCTTCACAAATTCCTATATAATTGCAATTTCCTATTTTCATGTCATTACAGTAGATAGATATAACCAATTATGGGCCTATCCCATTTGTCCTTTTCTTCTCTAAACCCTACCCCTCCTCAAGAAGAGATTCATATGCCTTTGGGTTCTCTCCTTATGATTGACCCCCGAAACTATTTGAATTGGCTCTCAGACCTTCTGACCTCTCAAGGTTACTAATCATGTGTCGACACTATGTCACTATGTGGGTATTATAACATAGTATATATATATTATATTATATATTATAGAGAAGTCCGCATGCTGCATTAACAGGGAAAGCAGTATCATGTTTGTTGTAGCATTGCCCATTCAGTTCACGATTCTCTATTGACTCTATTGACTGCTGCTTACTTTGCTTACTCCTAACTTTGGTCTTTGGATCGATGTTAAAACCGGATCTCACTGTATTCAAGCTGACTCAAATCCGCAGATTGCGCACACACTCACAACGGCATCTTTGAGGTGCTCCGTCTCGAACATGACGAATGCACCACAAACCTGCACACGAGGCTTGCTACTAGGGATGGTAGCCACAAAATTCAGGCAAAACATCAGCCCGCCCACCAAGTGGTACAATTAGTGATTGCAATACTACAATATGTTGCGATCCCCAGAGCATCTGACTTGAGGCTCAACTCGTTCATCTCAATACGATCATCATACAGTAAAAAGTCTAGTCTGTTCTTACATTGTTTTTCTTATATTATCTATCCGTATAGATCTCTAGACGTGATTTCAGCCAAAGAAGCGGCTAGAACTAGAACTTGATTCCAAAAGTACTTCTGCTTTCAGGCTTCAAGCTGGCGCACACATACCGTAGCCTCTCGTTCGTTGTCTTTCAAATCCTTAGACAAACAACCGTGTACTGTAGAAGTTACAATCGTGTTTTGAAGTGTGTTTTTTCTCCAAAAGAGTTGTATCAAAATCTTAGATCCGAGCAAAACGACTCCCCAGTAGCAAACAATATGTACACAGACCCAAGGAGATGTAGCAAGACCGGCCAGCAACAAACAAAGTGTGATCATCACACCATCAACACACCTTAGGGCAGGGGAAGTTCTGCGTCCTTCATTCAGGTCAATGATGGTCTATAGCTTTGGCTATAGTGTCATCTGAGCATAATTGCACCAAGAACATGACATGTGATACTTATTTGGCACCCTTTCAATCTTATAGGCTCCTTATACCTCGATTCCTTGCAACTCTTCCAAGATATTTGACCTCGAGTTGCAACTCTTGGTTTAACTGCCAGGCTTTGCGTGCCAAGCATCTGATTGGGTCTCCAGAGTTGCCTGCACATGGTTGTTTCGCTACACAGATTCAATTCAACCAGTTTACTTCTTGGAGGCAAAACTACATTGCTGTAATTAAACAGTACAAGCCAAGTCAGGAGTGAGCTCTAGATGATCAGTACATCATATATTAATTCAGTTGGCAGCTCCTAAAACGGTGAAACATTGCTGGAGCTAGTATCTACACAGCGCTAGTACAATGGTATAGACAGGCAGGGGGCGCAGCAGTTAACATAGGGCCACACCTGCGAGACCTCAAGGGGGGCTGACCCGCTAGACAAAGGGCCTGCCACAGCAAAACCTTGAGGGGAAGCGGCCTTCCACCATCAGTTCAGAAAGTGAGAAAGCACTGGAAAGGTGAGACGCAGGCTAGGAGAAAGCGGAGCCAGGCTCAGAAGAGGGCGAAGCAGCAAACGAGGAATGAAGGCAGACAAGTGGTGGAACTGCAGGTTCAGCTCAGGCGTCGGAGGACGGCTCTGGCGTTCTCGACTTGTAGCGCCACCGAAAGCGACTGCAAGAGCCGCTGACACTCCAAGTCCACGGGCTCAGATGTCCTAGCTGCCAGAAGTCCAGCTAGAGAGCGCCATGTTTGCATGGCGGTGGGCCCCCAGCCGCCGCCTGCGCCAAGGGTATGAACTGCAAGCCCTGAGCGCAGCAGTCGCTGTGTGTGTTTTGGTGTCGACGTTTGCGGGCTTCATATTCCAAGGTGGCGTGGCCACCAGACAGGACAGTTTGGGAGAGTGTCCCGGGCTGTAGCCCAGAAGTCACTGCAAGGTCAAAGGCAGCGGGTCCGAGAACCCCCCAATTTCCAACCCAGACATCGGCTGGGCGCCTTCCCGGTCCAGCAGCACGTCGATCATCGTCAGGCCCTTCGCCCGGGTCGGGTCGAGGGGGCAGCAATCCAGGCTTTTCGACTTCATGAGACAGTCCTGCAGAGTGGGCTTTGGAACGGGCAGACCCGGGCGTGGTCGCAAAATTTTTCGGCGATCCCGTCGCACTTGGGGCAATGGGCATCGGCGTCACTCACCGGGAGGCGGAGCCGAAGGCGAACCATGATCTTGAAGATGGGCCCGAAGATGTGCAACCCCAGAGCCTCAGAAGGTGGGGCGGAGAGCCACGCACCCGCACCAGGCTGCTGCAGGAGCTGGAGGTGGGCTCGGTAAGCTTCTTGCCCAGGAGCGGGGGCGGTCAACTGGGAAATGGTTACCTTGTCAAGCACCTGGGACAGCTGCTGCTGCCTGTAAGGGGTCGGCGCTGGCACAAGGAACTGGTCCTCGGCAGGGAGTCGCTGGTTCACTTGGCGAAGAGCTTCTTCTCCAGATTGTTGGTTGTAATGGCAATCGATGCTGGAACAAAGGTCAGCGGTGGCGAGAACAGAAGCAGCGTAAGCAGCCGCGCCATGGAGGTGAGCGTGGCGGAGGCCCAAGCCACCGCTGCCGGTGGACAAAGAGGCTTGGAGCCACGCTTGTTCAGTGAGGGGGCCTGTGCAGGAGGTTTCCAAGCATTGTCGCACTGCTCCATCGAAGGCCAAGAAGGCGGCAGCCACCAGGGATGTGGGGGTAAACCTTTTGATGTATGCTATTTTGCAGAACGAAGCACAGTGGCGCAAGAGCAACAGGCAGGTCTGCGGGTCCGGCAGTTGGCTGATGGCATGGAGGAGGGGCTGGGTTGCTTTGGATTGGGTGGAGGAGATGGTGTGGTCGCAGAATTGCTGGTTGCCGATGGGCGCGCCCAGAAGGGTGAATGAGGTGGTGGAGTTGGAAGTAAGGCCGGGCGGGAAGGGGCCAAGGCTAACCGCTGAGTCGATGCCGCCACACGGGATGAGCTCGCACTTGGCCGGGTTGATGTGGAGGCCAAGACCAAACGCCGGCGAGGCAAACATCATCCAAATAGGCCATGAGGATACACTCCTGGTCCGAGAGCCCGGCCGTTGCCGCTTTGAGGGCCGGTTGAAGAGCCAGGGCGAAGAGCAAAGGGCCGAGGGGGTCCCCCTGTTGCACCCCCGCTTCAGAAGTCAACACGGAGCCGTGGAAGAGCAGCCGGCTGTGGTGGGCATAGCACCACTCAGCCCAGGGCGACAAAGCAGGGAGGCGCAGTCGAACCTCACGGAGCATGGCAGCCCTGTCGAGGGTGTTGAAGGCATTGGAGAAGTAAGTTGGAGGGTAGAGGAGAGGTAGCTATTGGTAAGACTGGAAAATACTAAGTTACTAGTAGCAAGGAGGCTATTGCATGTAAGGACGCAGAAGGGCTCAGGTTTCCTTTCAGAAGCCTGAGCCTCAATGATAAGGTTCCTAGACTCTTTGGGAAACTTAACTTAAATATCTTCCACAAAATCCACCGCAAGATCTTCTTGTGCCTCCAGGTTTAGGATCTTCTCTTTCAATTTCAGTCGTTTCCTGGCCAAGATGCAAAAGTATTGTCAATCCGTATCAATTCCTGAGGCAAACGAATCTCCAATATATCTCAGATCTGATTGTTGAAACAAAATCTTGGACTATACACATGATTCAGCAAGCCGGGCTGACGAATACAAAGTACAACTACTCATGGGATTGGACTTCAATCACAAGCCCACAGCACTTGGTTTGGCTGTCGTAAGTCTTTTTGGCTTTCTTCTTGGTGGCTTCAGAGCTCTCTGGCTTTTCCATCGTGTTCTTGGCCAGCCTGCGAAGTGGACAATTGCAGCCGACCGTGAGTATCATAACTGAACATGTGTATTCAGAATCGCTCGCCTGGCAGCTACACCTGCTTCGTACATTTCTTCCAACAGGTTCCCTTGCTGCAAGAAGGTTGAAATGCAGCCATCCTCAAAGAATGCAGGTCATTTGAACTTTGGGAGGGATGCTTTTCTTTCAAGAAGTCCTTCCCACAGCTGTTTCACACATAACCTGGTCAATGATAACTGCGGAAATGGTAATTACACTGACTGGTGGAGCTGAACTAAACCCAATGAATAATAGACTATCTTTGCCTCAAGGCCGTTCTTGATCACGAATTAAGAACTGAAAATGAGTCCAACAACAGTTCTATCTGCACGCAAGAATATCTTCCGCACTGATATCAGGTCGAGATAGAGATAAATACACAATATAATATGTAATATATATACTTCAGGCAAACAAAAGTTTATTTTATGTTTGTTAACCAAGTTCAAAAACAACGCTGTATGGTCAGCTGCGGATCGAATTACCAAGTCCAATTTGCGTGGCAGGTGTGGGACGGTCAATTATCACACCGTTTTAACTATATATATATATTTATAAAAGGCTTTCCGGTGTGAAAAATGACCGCCCACACGGCCCCAGATATCTCAATGTAGGATTCTAGGGGGTAAGGTTGACATGAGTTTGTGTCTCAAGAAGCGCAACTTTTGTCTGGCCAGTGTATAAATTAATCTAATATGTATAAATACATATATATATATACAATATACAGTACATTTGTGTTGCTGCACTGAAACCCAATCATCTTCCCGGGGTTGGTTTCGGGTTCACGAAGTCTGCAACCTGGGCCTTTAAATCATGAGGCCACAGCCAGGTTCCATGAGTGCAAAGCCGTGGAAACAAACAAAATGCTGTGACAAACAGACATGCATGCTTCGCAGGACAATATGGCGAATGCGCATGGAGAGTTCGTAGGGAAGTATATAGCGGAACGCGAGTTCTAATACTCTTAGCATCAGGCGTATTCCCGAATGAGTGCCACCTCTGCCACTTGCTCCTGGGCGTTGGACAGGCTCTTGACTCTCATCACTTGGGCAAGGGGCATCCGGAGGATATGAAGGCAGCTGGATAGGCACAAAAGAAATGGTTTGGAATGTCTTCCTTCTACACCTTGAAACTTAAAACCGTACCGAATCAACACAATCTTGTAAACTTCCTGAATCAAGGCGAGAGCCGAGTTGTATGAATGCATCAAAGACAAAGCACAGTCAAAGCACTGATGAAAAGCCAAGCGTCAAAAGCGTCCTGCACTCCACATTCTGTGGTCAACACCTCCATATTCAAGTGGTGGACACTGCAAATACTGTATGTTGGAGTTTGGGTCCCCTCATGCTCCCTCGAGTTCTCAAACAAGTGATATTGGACGTCTTAATCGGAGATAGGCTCCTCAGAACTCTTTGCATACATCCATCTGAATCTGCAACGCTATTTCGTCCACAATCCCATTTGGGTGTGTCAAGAGCTGCCGAGCGGAGCTTGATTGCAAGCTGGTCAATCAGTGAATCTTTCATATCGCCTTTTCAAAGTGCTGCTTGAGCAGGTCTTCCTCAAAGAGCGAGGATTGGTTTGCACACGAACTCGAACACATACAAAGCGAACATACTTTGTGGTGAAAGCCGGATGTTCGAATACACAAGGTGCGCGCATGAGTTCTGTCTGACTTAGAGGAATTCATCCCATCAAATTTCTACCTAGATCTACCTAGTATATGTCAAGAAAACCGTGCAATCCAGGTTCATGATCCATCCAGCGTAAACTCTGGAGCTGATCACCAAGGCACAACGATGAAAATCATAGGACCCAACGTAGTTTAGAGTTTTATGGTATTGGGGAACGTCGTCATCATCATCATCATCATCATCATCATCATCATCATCTGTCATCGGTTTCATAACATTGTCATCAAACGAGAGTGTGGTTGAATCGGGAGTCATCATCATTGCATGTGTTTTATTGTGTTTTCCAAAGGTGTCTATAAGAGCTTTTAGAATTTCGAGTATGATCGTGTGTTTCCGATGGCAGTGTTTCAGGGCCTTTTCTCTTTCTTGCTGTCAGGAGGCTGCTTTTGTTTCAATGTCGGTAATATAGTGACTCTTGTTTTGGCAAGATTTGGTTGTGGTAAGGCCGCCATGTCAAAGAAAAAACCGAACATACATGGTACATACCCATGGCTGAATGGCTGAGCAAGTTGAAGTTAGGGGCAAGTGCCGCAGAAAAGGTTTGCCAAGAACTGTGATTCTTCTTCACTCTCAAACATGGGTCCTGATGCTGCCTTGCTGCAAGACATGCTGGCCCTGGCTATTTTACTCCACTTGGCTTCTTACACATGTCCATGTGAGACTGTGAAGCTTGTGGAGCATGAACTCGGTTCAGTTAGACATTTGGTTGTCCACTTGGGTGGCTGGAGCAAATGTGAGCGCGCAGGTTTCCCTATGATTTGGGCGACCGAGCGGCGGACATGTTGAGACTTTTGTGGTTGAGTTGTCTTCGAGCCGGCAGATTTCCAGCGTCGGTTTTGGCTGCATTGTTTGTCTTTAGCACACAGTCTCCGGAGTTGCATGTATCCTTGATGGAGAAGCACAAGCAATCGTCATGGCTTACGTGAGAAGCTTCCAATGGAGTCCTGAAAGTACATCAATAATCCACGACGGCGCGTCGCATTCAGGACTTGGCCGAAACACTTTTTTAATGTTTTGCGATTCCGCCCGAAAACGTCTCGCTTTTCCGAGGTTTGACGTTGTGCAAAACGGACCTTTCACTGCAACAAAACGCCTTGGAATTCAGGCTTCATTTGCTGGCCTTCCATTTCAAAAGCTGCAGAAAACAGCTTTTTTAACGACATTCGTGCCTTGGACAAACAGAAAAGACACAAAAACACGACTTCAGTTTCCGGGCCGCTGGGTAGTCTAATGAAGTCTATATATCTATAGTTTGTTTCGGGCGTCCATTATGTTTGGGCGACTGCCACCTCTCTGTGGACGGTAGAATTGGCAAACTGTTGAATTGTACATGACTCTAGTCCTTCGTAGGTTTGTCCAAACAAAAGTTTGACTGCAGCCCTCAAATCCAATTGGGCGGTGTTGAGTAGCTCATTGCTCATTAGAGACACTTTGAAAACCTGCCTGTTCTTATAGTCGTTTCCTCTGAATATGCTAGCCCTTTTCTCCTGGAAGTATTTGTGTGCGCTTTCTTCTCTGGCTGCCAATCAATTTACAAAAGTCATTGCTGACATGTTGATACCAGCGATAGTCTCCTTGCGTTGATGCATTCCAAGGTTGCCGTTAGCTTCGATATGCAGCATTGGGCAGGACAGCATTCCATTTGGATGGTATCTGCGAGAGCGTGTAAAGGTAGATCTTAAGTTTCCCAAAAAATCTAGGACCCAAATGATTAGTGCGAGTGCTTCTTCAAGGAATTCCCCCCCCCGGCAGGGCTTCCTTGAAGAAGCGTGAGCTATCCTGCATCCATACTTCAGGCAAACAAAAGTTTATGCTTGTTAACCAGGTTCATAAAAACGCCGTAGGGTCAGCCGAACGAATTACTAAGTCCTTATAGCAAGAAAAGGCTTCCTGGTGTGAACAATGACCGCCCACACGGTCCGAGGTCTCCCAGTGTAGGAATAGAAGGCAAGGGTTATAATGAGTTTGAGTTTCAAGAAGCGCAATTTTTGTCTGGCCAGTGTATGTAGTAGCGCCCAAGTAGCAAGAAACGTACAAGTTTGTCCCTTACCTATAATTGTGTACGTGCCTACTTATTTAAGCAAAGAGGCAGGGCCTCGAGCTTAAAAACACAAATCTCAGCTCTTCGACCGGAAAGAGTCGGCATCAAGAGTTTTTGTGACATGATGAAAAAAAATGGTCCAAACGGGAACACAAAACAATTGGGAAACTGATGCAAGGGCGTGTCCAAACTGGCCTCATACGACTATATAATGAGTAATGGCTATATTATATTGAAGAACTGACAAAGATTAAAAAAAATGTGGCAACACAACGCTGTGTTCATTATAATGACTGTGACTACCAGGGCATGTGGGCCAAGATACGTAGTGCGGATGATCCTGATCAGACAGTTTCCTGGAGCCACGATGCTAATCTCCAACATGTCAACGGGCAGCAATTCTGTTTGCTCTATGCTGACATCTTGCTACGTCATGCTTAATATGGACATGCCTACTCTTGCCTTTCTTGACGTTTTCCATCCAGAATAAGTGTCCATCTCCGACACCCTCAGCCAGCAGCGGCCTGGGTAAATTGCTCACTCGAATTGCAAAGTCGCTTGCAGTGATGTTGGCCTAGCAGCACGGGGCAGGCAAGTGGCCATGAATAAGAAAACAGAACACCCCCAAACCTGCACCCTGTGCAATAACCCTGCAAAGTAGCAAGGCGAAAGGGAGCAACATGGAGCAGATATATATATATTATATTATATATATATTTGAATGCTTGGATTCTAGGAGGAGCTCACGACTTGATTGAAATATCTTGAAATTGTGTTTATTTTTGCACAGGGCTAATGCACCAGACGTGAGTTTGCGGCGAAGACACTCCGAGACCAGTTCCCCTCCAATCATATCCCAGTTCCCACCATTCCCAGCCCAAACTTGTTCAAGAGTCCTTTGGCGTAACGGTTCATCTGTGCGCGAGTGAGGATATACGTTCTTGCCTCCAAGATGTAGTTTGGCGTTCAAGGTAAACGATTGCTCTAAGGTATTCCAAAATTGTCTATATAAAGTGTATAGTGTATACTTCAGCTTCTTGCGGCGGTGTGGGATGGTGCGCTGTCATTGAACCCTCAAGACAAAGAAACAGGCGAGCGCAGCGTCTGTTTGCCCACATGCTTTCTGACAGTGGGCATCTTGGTGGAATCACACACTTAGAAAATGGATTTTCCGTGACCTCTGTTCCTCGAGGAAATGAATGAGGGAAAGGCAAGGTGAGGCGGTCCGCACAACTGAATTGTTGAACAATCTGTTCACGTGTCTGCAGACGCGCGGCAGCGGAAAGCGGTGGAGGGAAACTGGTTTTGGGGAATAGCATGCAGAAACCACCATGAAACAAACCGAGAGTGGAACAGCGTGTTCAAAAGTTAAATCGCAGGTACACACAGTTGATCAGTCTGTGCATCCACCGAACAAGCATAGCTTTGTTAGCCAGCGTTTGCTTGTCGGCAAATGGCCCCCCGCGGTGGAAAACTCCTAGAGACGGAGGGTGACACACACAACATGCCGAAAATCGGCGCTCGTGCGGTGGTATGGTGGACAGTTTTCCGCTCTTTAAAATTCGTCTGCAGTCCGAGGCTGCGTGTCCTTTTTGGACATAAAGCTGCACAAGTTGCTCAACTGCTGCATCTGCCGCTGTGGAGGGCAATGTGATGGAATGTGTAAGAGTAAATTGTGTGTAGTCTTGAGGCAAGAGGGTGAGGCGGTTGCTTCCTGCACTGGTGGCATCTCGGATTTTCCAAGATTGGGTGGGTTGGAGTGATTGTACGCTGGGCGAGGTCGATGTTGAACCCCAAGAGGTGGTAGTCTTCAACGGTCTGAAGTTCCACGGGGTCACCAAAGAAATCGTGGTGGGTGAGGGTTTGGATCGCTGGATGTGAGAGGAAGTGTTCATTGTGAACAATGAAGCGATTGTCCACATATCGGTAGTAGGTGGAGTGGAGGTTGGTGTGGTGCAAGAGATTGTTGTGGAGCTGTTGCCAGGAGTGCTCAATGAGGGTAATGGCGACATTGCAGAGGGCGGGTGACAGCTGGGAGCCAATCCCAGCGCCACGCATTTGTTGGTAGGTGAGGTTGCGTGCCCGGAAAATGCATGTGTTGAGCGCGAAGGCCACAATGGTTGCGATGTCCGCTGTGTGGAGAGTGCGCTGGGCGGGATGCCTGCGGTGATGGCGACCAATGTGGGAGTGGTGAAACGGGTTGCCTGTAGCTTGGGCGTCGATGGTGATGGTGCGGGCCGGTGTGGGTGGATTGCTGTTGCTGCCAATGTTGGATCAAACTGCTGGGGGACGGAACTGAAAACGCCGACAAGATCATCGTTGGTGGCATAGAGAGTGACGTTGGGGGGTACTTGAATGAGGAAAGTGTGGAAGCGCTGCCAAAGTTGAGGTATGGAGAGTTGGCCTGGATGCTGTGGGTAGGATGATGTCGAGGGCTCTGCTGGTGATGCGGAGAAGGTTGCCGGCGAGGGAGTGGTAGTAAGAGATGATGGTTCGGCCTTTTTGAAATCCTTGCGGAATCCCCATTTGTATCGGGCGCGGAGGCCGGAGGGAACTGTAGCCAGCAAGTGGTCGTTGATGTTGAGTGGAGTGAGGTGGTGTAGCGGTTGGAAAAGCTCTGGTGCTTGTCATCATGTATTGAGAGCTCCACGGAAGTACTGTTGAGGGCAGAAGATACGGAGCTGCTGGAGTTCATGGTCGGCGTGGTGCAGGACCGCTTGGTCGCCGAGAAACTCTTGGAGTTGACGCAACAGCCGAGCTGCGAAATGTGGTTGTTGCTTGAGGTGAGAAAGGTGGAGTTGCCACTGTTGGTGAAGAAAACGGGTCGGTGTGGTCAACAAGGCTAAGGGATGGTGGAAAGCCCTGTGTGCGGAGCCATCCGCGGAAGGCGGTTTGGAAGGTGAGATAGTATCTTGCCTTGGAAGGGAGAAGGTGCTGTTCATGTTGGCGTTGAGAAAGATGCGTAGGTGAGGGGGCAGTTGAAGTTGATCAAGAGTGAGAATGTAATGGTCGTTGGTGGTGGGACTGTCAGGATCAAGAAGAAGTGTCTGCAGGTGAGCACAGGCGCAAGGGAGGTCTAGTGGATCGGCTGGTGTCAGTAAGCTGTCCTCCCATTTTCGGTGGTTGTGTGGCTGGGTGCGCAGCATCTTGTGAGCCGCTTCTCGAAGTCGGTGTGTAGGAAGATGAAGGGGGATGGCAAGGGCCTTGTGGTGTTGGATCAGGGTGCGTAGCCATTGTTGTGTGTCCTTGGTGAAACTGGTGTGAGCCAGGAAGGGAATGGTGAGGGGAATGTTGACCCGAGGCGGTAAGGTTGCGATAGTGCATGGCTTTGTGTATAATCTGCCGAGCTTTGGTGCGACCTGGTTCTTCCAGGTTGGCGGCCATGCGAGCTCGAGGTCTGTGCGGCGACCGCTGCGTAGTTGTTTGGCTCAGCGGTGTGTTTGGCGAAGGCATGGTGTTTAGTGGGAGGGTTCAGCGGAGATGGGGATGTTGTGTTGAAGTTGTTTTAGTTTGGCCCGTCGATTGTGTTCCCAGTGAGGGATGCCAATGGCGGTGGGGCCTATGTAGAAGTGGCCATGTTGGTGATAACATCGCGGTGGTGGTTGAATGTTGAAGAAGAGTTTCACATAAACTGAATTGGAGGAGAGAAAGTAGTGGTAGCGGTAAGTGTGCGGCAGAACGCGCAGTTGGCGAAAGCGCTTTCGCCGTTGCTGAGAGCGTTGGGTGTTGGAGGGGTAAGTGAAGAGGAGGGTGAGATGAAGGAGACCGGTGGCGAAGATGCACTGTGTATAAGGGTGGAAAGGGCTCTGCGGAGTTGGAACAGCTGCTGCATGTTGGTGGAGTGTGGAGAAAGCTGAGCACTATGGCTCAGTCAACAGGCAAGAGCCGCCCCTACGCTGACAAGAGTTTGCAGCGACTTGATATCAGGCATTTGTTCAGCTTGGTCAAAGGAAGTCCGTAACGGGACGTCACCCTTGAGTCAGGGATGTGGTGGTTGAAGGACGTCAGCCAGGACCGGAGGTTTGGCTGCTTCGGGAAGTGTGGGTGGAACAGGTGGGGCTGCAGTGCGCTCCTTGGCATCTTTGCGGGGTGTGAGTTGTAGCCCATAGGCCATAAGTTTGGCTTGCGCTCGTTCGAAGTCTTCTGATTTGGCCTTCAGTTCGCGAATGGCAGAGCCTCCGGCTGCCCGGCTGCTGCTGGAGCATGGGCAGCTAGGTGATTGGCAACCTGCCTCGGTGGCGGCGTCTATATAGGTCCAACCGCTTGTCGCGCAGATCTTGAAGAAGGTGTGTGATGAACACACCGATTCAGCAACGCTGCGGGTCGGAATCAGGCCGCAATATTTGCCATGGCTCAGGGCGCGAGCCGTGAAGTCTGCTGTACCATGATAGGCAAGCAACCCAGGGTATATGTCAAAAATGGGGAGCCCGGCGATGCCGACTTTCTGTGACCACTGTGTGGGTTGGATGGCGCGAAAGAGCTGGTGGCTGTGGAGGACATTGGAGTCCCAATGGGTGTATCGGTAGGGCGCCAGGATTCGTGAATCGGTGGCGAGGGGAAAGGGATCGTTGTGGGAGGTGCAGGTGCTGCTGTGTGAGGTTGTGGGCTGTGAGTGAAGGAAGTGTGGGTAGGTGTCGCTGGCGCTGAAGGCGCCGTGGTGGGTAGCGGAGGAGGAGGAGGCGGGGGAAATCTTGGGGAGCCGATGGCGGAGAAGTGGTGCTGGGAGAGTGATGGTAGGATTGATGTTGGTGGGCGGTGAGCGGATGGCGTGAGTCATGGGCCCGTATGTATGGGTGGGCGTGTAGTTGCTGGTGTTGGGCCAAATAGTGTTGCCAATAATACTGCTGCCAATGTGCGTCCATGATGAGTGGACAAGAGGCGTGAACACAGAATGATCAAGGTGACGTTCGAGCAAAATAATGGCTAACGGTGTGGGCGATGAAAAGATGAATGAAAGCAAAAAACGGTAAAGAAAGTGAGAAACGAAACATGCCGTTGATCAAGAAGTGAGATTGGTGACTACAACTGTATTGAAAGTAGAGAGGTCATATGATAATGCAGCAGCCGGCAGCAAACATCCGCGGCAGCTCTCCGCGCTGTTTTCCAAAGACGATGGAATTCAATTTGAATCTGTGAGATGATACCTTGAAAAGCCGAAATAGTGGTCGCCTAGGGGTCCTGCGGGTTACAAACAGCATGGAACATGCGTGGTGATCAAGGAAGAAGCTGCACTAAGCATAAAACAGTGGTATTGAAAAGGTTGATATGCGGGTTAGACCACTATTGAGAGGGCTTCGCCTCTAGAGTCCTCAGAAAATTCTATCACTGAGCCTGCCAGGGGTCGTCGCTAGGATCATAGTTCTGCTGGCGTAGTGGAAGAGGACGGCCGCTGGCATCATAGTTTGAGGGAGTGGAAATTGCCTGGAGGAAGGGTTGTGTGGAAGGGTGAAGGATCGATACTGATGGAGCCGAGGTGGCAGGAAATTGCGGTGGTGGTCCACATGGCGCCGCAGGAAGGTGGCGGTGCTTGTACAGCTGAGGCCACCAGCCTGGGGGCGATTGTGGAGGGTATTGAGCGCCAAAGACCGGTAACGGCTGGTGTGGATGGAAAGATGGCGGCGGCTGGTGAGTGAAAGCATGGTGGCTGTGAGTATGGTGTGGGAACCGGGTGTTGTGTTGCGCGGTGGCATTGGAACGCTGCGGTGAGGGAGACCCACGTCGTGGTGGGGCAGCATGTGTTCGAACATGCGAACGGCTGGAGTGGGAATGAGATCAGCATACTCATGGCGCGGTTCGCCAGGTTGCTTGTTGGCTGCCGATGTAAGAAGGGGTAGAGAGTAAAGTTCTGTTTGTGTTGGTGCTTCGTTTGCGATGGGTGGCCGGGGGTGAGAGCGTGGTGTTTGGGTGGCTGCAAT